CCATCAGTTCTGTAGCCCCATCATAGAAGGCCACCAAATTGGTCAGGCAGGATTTCCCCTTAGTGAAGCCATGCTGGCTGTCACCAAGCACCTTGTTGATTTTCATGTGCCTTAGCATGCCTTCCAGGAGAATCTGCTCCAAGATGTTGCCAGGCACAGAGGTGAGACTGACTGCTCTGTAATTCCCTGGGTCATCCATTTTCCCCTTCTTGAAAATGGGGGTTATATTTCCCTTTTTCCAGTCATCGGGAACTTCACCTGACTGCCATGATTTTTCAAATATGATGGCCAGCAGCTTCGCACTTCATTTGCCAGCTCCTTCAGGACCCGTGGATGGATCTCATCAGGACCCATGGACTTGTGCACATTCAGATTTTTAAGATGGTCTCGAACCACTTCCTCTCCTACAGTGGGCACAAGGTCTTCATTCTCACAGTCCCTGCATCTGCCTTCCAAGACTTGGGTGGTTTGGTCAGAGCCTTTGCCAGTGAAGACCGAGGCAAAGAAGTCATTCAGAACCTCAGCCTTCTCCAAATCCTGTGTAGCCAGTTCTCCTGAGAGGGCCTACATTCTCCCTAGTCTGTTTTTTTATTTGCTATGTACCTGTAGAATCCCTTCCTGTTATCTTTAATACCTCCAGCTAAGTTTAATTCTAACTGGGCCTTAGCTTTCCTAACCTGGTCCCTAGCTTCCTGGACAACATCCCTGTACTCTTCCCATGCCACCTGTCCTTGCTTCCACTTATTATAAGCCTCTTTTTTCATTTGAATTTTCCTCAGCAGCTCCTTATCCATCCAAGGAGGTCTCCTGGCCCTCCTGCTGCATTTCCTTCTGGTTGGGATGCAACACTCCTGAGCTTGTAGCAGGTGATCCTTGAATATCAACCAATAGTCTTGGGCCCCTCTGCCCTCTAGGGCTGTATCCCATGGAACCTTCCTAAGCAGGTTCCTGAAGAGGCCAAAGTCTGCTCTTTTGAAGTCCAGGGCAGTGAGCTTGCTGCACGCTCTTCTCACTGTCCTGAAGTTCTCAAATTCGAGCATCTCATGATCGCTGCATCCAAGGCTGCCCTGGAGAGTCACATTTCCAACGAGCCCTTCCCTGTTGGTGAGCACGAGGTCAAGCATGGCACCTCTCCTTGTCGGCTCCTCTATTACTTGCAGAAGGAAGTTGTCTTCCACACAATTGAGGAACCTCCTGGATTGCTTGTGCCAGGCCGTACCGTCCTTCCAACAGATGTCAGGGTGGTTGAAGTCACCCATGAGAACAAGGGCCTGTGAGCGTGAGGCTTTTCCTATCTGCCTATGGAGTGCTTCATCCGCAGGCTCTCCTTGATCAGGCGGTCTGTAACAGATCCCCACAGTAATGTCTCCCATAGCTATATTCCCTTTAACCCTGACCCACAGACTCTCTGTGGACTGCTCACCTGTCCCCAGACACAGTTCCATACTCTCCAGTCTATCCCTAACATAAAGGGCAACTCCCCCTCCCCGCCTGCCAGGCCTGTCTTTCCTAAAGAGCCTGTAACCTTCCATTCCAACACTCCAGTCATAGGAGCCATCCCACCATGTTTCTGTGATGCCTATTATATCATACCCCAGTAGACATGCACACATCTCTAATTCCTCTTGTTTGTTCTTCAATAGTCTACACACACGAGATATTCCAACAAATATCACAGTATCATCCAACAGATTATCAGCAATTAGGAGTAATGGAGTTAAGATAAAACTAAAAAAAGGTTATGCTAACATATATACATCCAGTGTTACCCTCAAAACTGAATGAAGTTCTGGCTGTCCCATCAAATCAAAAGAATTTAGAGAAGGTAGAGAACAGGGAGACAGTATGATCAGAATAGTGAAATGACTTTTAGGAAAACAAAGGATAAACAGACCCAAGTTCTTTGCCTGGGAAAGAGATGACTGAACAGTCATACACAAGCAGCTTATAAAATCAGGAGTGCTAGGAGACATGAACAGGGAATGCTTATACCTGTTTCTCAGTAGAAGAAAGGAACCCAGAAAAAACACTGTGAAGTTTTTTCATGTGACAGTCAGTGAAAAAGTGAAACTCCTTTCCATATGATATACGGTGGAGGCCAAAAGGACAGTGTTGAAAAAGAGACTGTAAAGTCAAGCAAAATGGGCTATTAGACAGTTGTCCAGACGACCCTCTAAGCTCAGGGAGTTCTTAAACTACTGATTGCCTTCAACTGGCCTGGAACCAACACACAGCTGGTCAAAAACTAGCTAAAGCTAACGACAAGAGATATTGAACAGATGATACTGCTGCTGCGGAGTCTTATTTTAACTGTAAGTTTGGGAGAGAGCAGAAGGGGTAAGAAATATTTTGGTAGATACCAAATAGAGCTTTTCAGCATATTAGAACTATCTATGGTTTTACTATGTATTTCTTATTGTTGCTCAAGCATCGACAATTAAAAACTAAAATACCTATTCACATGCATTTGGATGTGGAACTGAATTCAGTCCTTTGCATTAGTAGTTCCGAGCTTCAGATGCCAACCTGTAATTAGATTTGGATTCCCACTTACCATAGGCACTAAGTGGTTAATGGTGCTCTTTTACCAGATAGCTGAGAGTCCACTAATAGATTCAGCTTCTTATTTGCCCTAAAGGCTGCCACAGTTCAATGTGATTAGGATCCTGTCCACTTAAGCAGTAACTGCTTCATAGGGAGGAACATAGAAAGCAATACATGTCTTCTCTGAGTACAGAAAGAGCAGTCTTTTAGTCGACAGGTTTTGTCCGATAAGGCAGGTTTTCCTGCATCAGGCTGTAAGCAAACCTTTGCTCTACTGCAAACTCTAATTTAAAGAAACCCCTGTACCTTACTTTTTCAGTGGAAAAATGAATTATTTTCCTTTTTGTTCCAGGGTAGTTCTTTGGGTGCAGTGGCTGATGCTGTATGAGTTTTTTTATTATTACATTTTAACAAACTTTATAGCCCATTTTGTTTGTTTTCAAATAACTTTATTTTCCTTCTTTTCTACCATCAATTACTAGGTTTGTTTTTCTTTCCATAAGATGGAGGAGTCAGGAGACTGATCCTGCTCAATGCTGTATAATTTAGTATTATGTGTACTAGCTTTATGAGGTGGGAGTCAGATAAAACATAGTATTTGAACACTAACCATTTATTAGCTCTAAGGAATAGATTTGTGACTTGACAAGCAGACAATAACTCTGGGTTCTGATCAGCCAAAGAGGTCTACTTTGAGTTCAAAACACAGAGTAACATACTCTTTCACAAATAATTTTGTTTACTGATGTGACTAGATTTTAATAATAAACTTGATATATATGTAAATTTATTTTAATCTAATTTCATCAACAGAGCCCTCCTAAAAATGAGACTTTGTAGATTGCTCTGTGTCTGATTTATAGATTTCTGCATCCTATTCCCAGATTGATTTCAAGGCTATAATTCTATCAGGTTTTTCTCCTGATGTCAGAAACACCACCTCTGCAGATAGTGTTTTATAACTAGCATCACAACTGAAACTGAATTACTGCCCTGCTATCCTATGCTGCAATATGTCCTTTTGTTTATAATCACCCTCTCTCCCTTATATACCTACTACTTCAGTTGCCTGGAAAATACCAGCTCCAAAATCAATCAGATAGCATGATGTCTATTTTTGTCCCTTACTTCAACCCCTGTAGAAAATTGGAGGGGCCAAATTCTTAACTCATATGGGTATGCAGAGCTCTTTAAAGAAAATGGAAGCTGAGCAACCGGCTCAGTGCCTGATTTCCACACATACAATTTTATGAGTTGTTCTTCTTCACTTGATGAGGTCTTGATCCTGTAAAGGAGCACCTGGCACTCAAATATTTGAGTATTCACAGTGCTCTCAGATACATGTTTAGGGACTCAGGACCTACCTTCTGAATGCACATGAGGAATAATCCATGGGAAATGTTACTTAACTGCTAAGTAACATTTCAAGATTCCTTTTCCCTTTTTTCATTAAATGGATCCTTGCTTAAGGTATGTACCATCTTACTTTTAATAAAGCAAGCCACTGCTGTTTTCACATACTTTCACATACTTGATACCATGACTTCTGCTAACTCCCTCCCTTTTCACTCTCCTCTCTTCTCTCTCCAACTCAGTCTTACCCTTTCACATCTTTCCACTATGCCCTCTATAGAGGAGGGGACTGAGGGCAGCCACACAAAAGACACAGGAAGAGTAACTTTGCCAATTTAAAGGCTTACGTGGGTAATACACCTTTTCCACTATGAGTTTTCAAGTAAGAATAACATCCTGGAAGCATAAAAGTCTACAGATTTCCAGTGTGTGCCTCTGGAATGGCCACTATGTCAGCCAGCGGTATGGACTGAACCAGGAACCATTGGGAGGGGAATGGAAAAGCCTGTCAGTTTTGATGAGTACACCAGCATCTCAAAACCTCACCGCCTTTGGACCAGTTGTAAAGAGTAACCCTATTTTATTTGCCTGACAGTCACAACAGTTCTCTTTTGATGCTCATTTCTCTTGTATTACATTTCTGAACACTTCATTATAGCTCAAATAAAATATAATTCTCATGTTGTTTTTAATTATTTCACAAAACCCAAATGTCTCATAATGAGCTTCTCACAATACTAATATATTTCTATGACATTATGCCAACGCTAAAGAAAGAAGATGTAGATCCCCCTCCTGCTGCAAATAAAATACACCTTCTGATATAATCCAAATTTTAATCCATTTCTTATGCTTTGCCTTTAGAGGCGACTCAAACAAATAACCAGAACAACAAACCTCTTCTCTCTCCCACAGTTTGGCCATCTGGAGGATTTGTTAGGCCAGCGCTCCATTTCCTACTCTCCAGGAGCAAGACCCCTTTTCTAGCTAAGGAAGTAATAAATAAGATGCAATGGCTTATACAATGCCAATAAAGATAAGTATCTTTCCATAAACAAATTTTTCATATATGTAATGTTGTGATTACTAAATGTATATCGTACCTGTTTGGAACAAAATGAGATTCTTGCAGTTGTTCTCCCTGCTCCACATCTCTTGGGAAGCCATAAAGCACCCATCCATTGGTCATGCAGTCTAGTGCACTTAAGCGTTCCGTCAGGATCTTCATCACAAGCTCATCTGGGACTGCAAAGAATTCAAAAGATGTTTTTTATTTTGTATGCTGAGTCTGCAATTAAGGAAAATACATGCTACTTTTTCTGGTTAGACTGCTATAGGAACTAAAACACAAAAGAGTTATTCCCATTTATGATTGATAGATTATGGAGAGAGGAGTTACTGTTGACTTTTACATCTTTACAGTGGTACCATGGAACCCCAAACTTGTAAAGAACTGCAGGACTAAAGCAAAGTATTTGGTAAAAACTGATGCCTACAAAATTCTGCAATGTAGTTTTTCCTCTCAGCCCTATTGGGTTGATGTCACAGTGAAATGTGTGACACAATCTCATCAAAATGCAAAAATAATGACCTGACTTGTGAAAAAGAAACCCTAAAACAGGAAAGAAATTTCTGTAGCATTCTGTATTTAACTTCACAGATGACAATGGCTCTGCCACAGCAGGCTGGGTGCAGTACTTCTTCCATTTGCCCAAAGGCTTGAAGCTTTTACAACTGAAAATAGATTTCTGAAATGTATTTCAAGTAGTGTAATTACTGCATTGATGGCTCCTAATTTTAGAGATAAAAGTTTTCTTTATTATTATTTTTCTTTAGGGCAAGAGAGATCATCAGCAAGATGATGACTGGGGTTACAATTACTATGCAGCTTTTAAAACACTATTTAATGGGACATAATGGTAAGGAGGCATCCTGCGTATTTTCACTGAAATATTTCAATCAGACACTTAAACATCTTTGTTTATCTATGTATATCTTGTGATTTTATTTTATATTTTTACAGAAGAATTAAATGTTCCAGTTCACCAAGAGTGATTATAAAATTTCCAAGGACTCTTGCAATTGCTGGGCTTAGTGTTAAATAACCCCAAAGAAAGGTCAGCAAAATCACCTCAAGCTACTTCCCAAAGAAGCAGACTAAACAATTTTCAAGCAGCGAGGAGAGCCCCTTCCCTTTATTTGTACAGTATGTCTTATACACTGTTGCCTCTACTGGAAACAAGTGATAAAAAATGCTACATAAATCCACATCATGGAATGTTGATGTTTTGATACTCACTCTGCCATCACATCTGCATACAAAAATACAACAACAATTGCTCGTAGGAGAGTAAAAGTGTCACATTTCTAACAATGCAATTCGCTTTAGGACTAGCTGACAGGAATGTGCCTGTATTTTAGTAGAGTACATTATTAGCAGTGCACATTCATACCCTGAGTACAAGCAGGTTTTAAACCACAATGATAGAATCCACTTGCTTCCTGAAATTTAACATTTCCTAATGACTTAAACCTCTAGCATGAAATTCATTACTTCTCCTTTAAATAATCAAATTACTGAGTTTACAGAATTGCGCTCAGGATTCAATGTACCAGCAAAAAGGGAGGAAAACCACAGGGAATTAATTAGAAAACAGATTAGTGTATTAATTGAGGATATCTACTTCACATGATAAAAAAAAAACAAACCCAGGTTAAGGGGATGAATATTCTCCATCTGCTGAAAGAAAAAAGGGATGGACTAAAACCAGACACTTGACAGAGAGCAAAATGACAATGCAAAACTAGGCATTCCATTAAAAATAGGATTCACAAAATTAACTACACAATAGCGCAGCAGCAGGCAGAAACGTTATTAGGCAGATGATACTTATCTAAGACCTGAGCTGCAGGCAGGCATAGGGGGGGTAACAGCAGAATTTCAGTGCTCTTTACAGGGCAGTTGTTCTCCCCACCCTCCAGGTTACAAGAACTAATTCAAATCCAAGACATCCTAGTAGGAAAAAAGAAAATCCCACCTTCTCTTTCCCCAGGATGTATTCCATACAAAGACTAGCGCAATATTCCTGTACTCCTGAATCTCTGGCTGCAGCACTAAATTTTCTGTATTCCTGCATGCTATTTTACCATGATTCCTACTGGAATCATTAACGTGGATTTACAAGGATGCCAAATTACATGTTTGGTTTGGGTTGTTTGTGGTGTGTTTTTTTTTTCTGGAAACATTTTCAGAATGCTTAAAACAGTTTTGCAATGGATTGGGATAAACCCTACACACCCTGAGTGAAACTGCACTAAAGTGGTATTCTGCCAGAGCCGACATCCCTGTGAGCCGAATAGGGAATCCGAGGCAGAGCCTGAAAGCCCCAGGAATGCCACAGAGAAATAAGGTGGTAGGCTGGGCTGTTGAGCTTTCAGCAGATCATAGGAGATTCTCCAGTTCCAGGGGCCAAATAGCTTCAATCCTGCATATGGGAAGTAGAAACATTACAGCTTACAAGAAAATTAGAAAGGAATTGTGATGGGAACCAGGCAGCATCCTCTCTATGTGATCACTTCCCACAGGCCTTCTGCGAATCCTTATGATCAAAATCCTCCAATTTGGTCACTATTTTTGAGCAAAATTGAAGCAATCACAAGAGGGGAAGAAAACAATCAAGATGAAGTGGCAATGAATTAGTAGTTTATCTAATGACATGTCAGGTCTGGGGTATCTTGAGTAACACTGGGGATGTGTTCTAACCCTGACACCCTGCTAATTTCAGTGATGACTGACTAGAAGATACCAGCAATACACTTTAGATTGTTTGTATGCTCATGTACATATATACATCACTGAATAATATAGATGCTTACATATTTTCTGTGCCTCCCTCTAAAGCTTGATGGTGAGAAATAAAACATAAACAAGTCAGGCAGCAAGCTCTGCTCTCCTCTTGATTAGCAAACATACCTATCACTTCAACACAATAGGGGAACATAGCTTGTTGGCTGTTCAATGGCATTACAAAGTACATCAGCTGCCCTTGAACAGGAATAGTCACACTTAGAACAGCTGCATTAAAACTGTAAAACATCTTCCACAGACCAGAGGGGGATAAAAAAAGGAAGCAAAAAGGAAGAAAGAAATCAGTATTATTCTTATTTTGCTGCAGTACAGACAGAGTAGGTAATGAAGAACTCTGCAATATGGTATTCCTTTTCACTCATGTGGAACTGTCTCTTGAATGTAAGGCAAATTAATAACCTGTAATTGGAGGGGCACATGGTCTGTAAGTAACTAGCCAGAGGTCTCCTGGCCTTAAACACATGACCCAGTGGGCTATATAGCAAAGTAAAATTTAGAGCTTTTCTGATGAGACAGTCAATCTACATGTTTTAAGTAGATTATGAAGCACAAGAGCTTTGAATAATCAATTCCTTTTCAACATAAGCTTGTGTGAGTTTCCAACTCTGAAAGTTGGGGGAATGAGACTCTAGAGAGACTTTACTTTATCATTAGAGAAGTCCAAAGATAAGTTTCTTGTCAAAATTACAACGTGCTACAAAGAGATATCCAGATTAGGTAATGTGGAAGCACATCTCTATTAAGGCGAGAAATGAAAGTGCAGGAGTAAAATTCACCCCTCAGACATAATGCTGCAGAGCTGCTGAGCTACAGTGATGCCCTGTGCCGACAGCACCATACAGAACTGTGGACCACGGTCATGGTGAACCTCAGAAATGGTATATGTGGCAGAATGAGGCCAGCTCCATACAGAAATGTAATTTATTCATGCATACATCCTTGCCTAACATGGATACTACACACCAAACCTCCTTTATCTCCTGTTCTGTCTCAACCATGTTAATGGTCTAGACTACACAGCTGAATTAGCAGCTGTGGACCTAAGAAGTGATCTAATCAATTCATGGCTATGATCAGGCAGGGGACAGGCAATAGAGGCTTAAAGTGCTCCTGCTCATGCTGGAACTGCTGTGTGGACACATAGGGATTTTCTATCTCCAGGGCTGTCAATCATCAGACCATTTAAAAAATAAATTTACTTCCCAGAGCTTCAAAGGTTTTCAGAGGTAGAAGGTACTCCTTAGGAAAAGCAATTCCTCATGAAACTCATAGGAGTGTGGCCCATTAGCTCTTACCCAACCGATAGATCTGCAGGACTAATAGAAAACTGAATCAGGCAATCAGTTACAAAATCATGCCATCTGCTCCAGACAAAAGTAACAGAATGTTAAAGGCACATACTTGGGAGATTACAGGGCACTATTCTCCTATAGCTTCAGTGCTGTCAGTGCTCCAAGCTATACGATTATCATATTTAAATTGATTCCTCCTCCATATATTACCCCTTAAAACAGACTTCTGTTTTAAGGGCACTGACTCACTTCTCCAAACCTATAAAAGCTCAATTTTAAGTCCAGCATAAATGCATCTGCATTTGCAGCTTTGTGCTGCAAAAAGTTTCAGGTCCTTTAGACAGTATTGTCCATTTATCCTTTACCCTTCTCTTGAAGAATTTTTTTAGGTTAGGTCTGCAGACTTTCACAGTTAATTCAGATGCCTGAGGCTTGACAGTTAACATCTTGCCCTGAGTATAAACTACCGCCAAAGGCTACTTCCCTGGATTGTCCTGTCAATCCTAAATTTAGCAAAGCGTGAGATTTGCTTATTTTATTGTTCTATAAACTCTGGGTTACCCACAACAGGTCATTTCATGCAGGTCTTTTAGAGAAGCATTCTATTTTCTCACCCACATTAAGGTCCGCAGAGACGGTAACAATTATAAATGGGTTTTAACGCGTCAGACAACAATTCAGCAGTGATTTACCATCCCATAGGTCGATCGGTATTTGAATCTAACCCTGCCAACACCCCAGATTCGTGACCACGGGCTGCTGCCCCGTTCCACAGCGCACAGCCTGCTGTAGGCAATAAACCCTCACCCCGGTACCTCTCGCTTTGGGGGGCACAGGCCGCTTTATGCTCGCAAGCGCCGAGGCGCGGGGGGAGCCCCGCCCGGCCGGCCCAGCTCCCTTGTTCTCTACCGCCACCTGCCGGGGGCGGCGGGCAGCGCGGAGCGGCGGCGCCCGGTACCGAGGCTGTGAACGGCCGACACCTCGGCATGATTGAAGCTCTCCGTTAAGTACCGTAAGTAAGACCCCGCGGCCCTCGCTGGCGCTCCGGGTCCCGAAGCCAGCGCAGGTGAAGAGGCGGCGTGGAA